CAAAACAGCTGCTGGCAAAGGGCTCAGCAGCTCCTCCGCAGCTGGCACTGCAGCCACTGCACTGCACCGGGCCGCCGGCCACCGCGAGCGGGGCACAGCTGCAAACGGTGGGCTCTGGATTCCCCATGCAGGGAATGCACCGGGGGCTCTCCTGCCCTGCTTGTCCTGGGGATGGGAATTTCACTGTCATTTCTTGGAGTTGTTCATCTGAGGCCCAAAATAAACTTATGAGAGGGCGCACTGGGCCGCCAACTGGAGGAAACAAATGGAAAATGGGACGACAGGGAGCTCACTGCTTGGCTTGCCGTGGTAGTGAAGAACTTAAGCAGCACATGCCTCCCTCTGCCCCTCTCCTTTCAGCTTGTGGGCTTTACACTCTTCAGGTCTTTGTTTTTAATTCTCGCTCCTTCTCTTTCACCTTCCTTGGGGATTTTCTTTCAAATGCAGTCTATGTATATTTCCTTTTTCCTTCACAATGTCTTCCTACCCCCATGGCAGTATTTTTCTTGCTCTAATCTTCTCTCTAGCCGTAAAGATATAAACCCCATACTGCTGAACCCTGCTTCCTAGCCTTTGATCTGAGTCTTGTTTTTGTTCCACTTCTGACTCTTTTGTGACCAACTCGAATTACAGCCACCATACAAACTTCCCAAACTGTGCTTTCTTTTCCTAAAACTCCCCTCTCCTAATACGTGGTCCCTCCCAGTTCCTCCTCTTGTTCCCTCCCCCCTGTAAAAACATGACAATAGCTGTATGGCAAAAAGACTTTTCAAAATACAAAAGAGCACGTTGAGTAATTTAAGATAAAAGCTGATCTGAAATGTGTCACTGCATTGCCAGGCTTGGAAAATAATGGAGACATATAGTTTTGTTTTCTTTTGTTTTGTTTTTTTCCAGAGGGGAAAAAAAAATCAATACCAAGTACCCATCCTGGACATAAATCAAATGTGTCTTTGCTGAAAGTGTTTTTTATGATCTATTTGCCAATGTACCAGCACAAGGACACAGAAAAAATGCAGTAAATAGAAATACCAAAGCTGAGCACCAACAGAATGTACAAATAATAAACACTGACTCTGTCTTGTGGTTTTGTTACTTGATTCTTTTTTTAATCGAGCCAAAGGGAATCACATCTCCTTAAACACCTTCTACTTCATTTTAGTTGACTAGAATGCTGCTTCTTCTAAACCAATGCCTTTTTATTCTTTAAAGGCCTATCCACTTAACCCATGGAGCAGGAGACCTCAGGATGCAGAGGATGCAGTCTGACCTCAGCACAGAATAAGAAAGTAAGTTGAAAAAAAAGAATGCAAAAATTACTTCAAATACAGTCTCCAAATTGGAAGACCCAGATGTACAATGAGTCTGGTTGTGTGCCTACGCCAGCGCAATCCGCCTCGCCTGCTTGCTAAAAGAATGCTTTCAGAGCTTTGATGTCAGATGAATGAATTTGCAGAAGTATTCACTTTTTCCACAGTTCTTCAAGGGATTTTAGGAAAGCCTACGTTGTAGCTCAGAGTACAGACTGCTACGTCCTGAGGAACAGGGAATTTTCAAAGAGAAGCATTTCAGTGACAAAGCAAGTTTCCTTCTCAGCTTTTCCTGTAATTAAACTGACAATTACCCAAGGCCACTGGAGGAAATTATTTTTTGAAATTCATTAAGACTACCGAAATACAACCTTGCATATCCCTAGTGTAACAGGAAGAAAGTGGGTAGCTTTAAACACATCGTTTTAAGCTTTGAAAAGCTTCACTGAGAAAAAGAAGTAATCTGGGACAGCAGAGAAAACACAGTTTCATACTGCTAATGTCCTTTGACAGTGCAGTGTGCAGAAGTCAAACAAGGGAGTGAGTATAAAATATTCCTCAAACACTTCTGTGGCCTTTCTGTATTGATTTCCAAATGAAAATTACACCCACTGTCATTTTAGCTCCTCCACTGCATCTACACCTCTGTGGGAAAGTGACCCAGAACTTGCAGCTCTGCTCACACTGAAAGGATATTAAAAAAAAAAGTGCCCCCGATAGGAGTTTTGGGTTTGAACACAAATGTAACACAAGTTCCTGGTACCCAAAATGGAAATGCTATCCCCCAGTGTGTTTATATAATCAGATTTTAAACTTTCTATCCAATTTATTCTTGTATGCATATATATATATATATATATATATTTATATATTTATATATATATATATATATATATATATATATATNTATATATATATATATATATATAAAAGAACAAGGTTTTTTTACATTTTGGTCTAAATATGGATTTATTTTAAAGTCAATTACTTAGATGAGTTACCATACAAAGCCCTCTGCTAAGAAGACTAAATACTTAAATATTAACATTAATAAGCATAATGATTAATATGAAGTTTCTCATTAGTATGTTCTCAGGATCCCACACTTCACTTTCTATTAATACAGAACGTAGGAAAGTAGAAGTAAGTAAAATGCTGCTAAACAGGTAGCAAAATATTTTTAAATCTTTTGATGGTTAAATACCTCTGATTTTCTGAGACCTGTCCTGCTCCACTGGTGTCAACTGCAAAACTAATAATTACAGCCAAAACCACATTAAATTATTCAACAGTTTGTCTATACCTAAAAAACCCCATATATAATTCTGCTAAAATCTCTACTAATTTGAAGTCTTTCTAACAAAATTGTAATAACTTATAGGCCATTTTTACAGTAGTTTATCACTGTCTGTCTGCATTCCTTGAATACAACACCAGCTGCCATTTTATATGGAATGCAAGTTTAGCTTTTCAACATTCAGAAAACACTTATCTGTTATGAAATTATGGTTTAAGAGTCTTGCTGATACATACTTACTTTAGAGAAGCTAGTATACATTTGCAGGTTCATAACACACTACTTTAACATCTCCTCCTCCATACACACGGGAGAAATTAAATTATTCAGACCAAAAAACCTCATTCTGATCTGCCTCCCCCTCTCTGAAATACATGAACTGTATAAAAACAAACCCCCCAACAAAACAAACAAATAAACAAAAAAGGCTGGACCTCATGTAAATCAATGTATAATGTTTTACATTTATTTGCTTTTAAAACTCCGCAAGTGCTGTTTGTTGTACAAAGTGCATTAGTCATAAATGCAGAGGCAGGGAGTCAGTGAGCACAGCAGAGTCAGCTGACAAGAACAGTTCCTGGCCATGATTCTTATACAGTCCCCATGGAGAGGAAGTAATATTACATTTTAATATGTCTTCATTTGATTGTTATTACTCTGCCTCCCAGGAGGCCACGCCACTGCATGGAGCATGGCTGTTTTCAACCTACCAGGTTGGTAACATTGCTCTAATCAGACAGAGAATTAAGCTGCTGGATTTGTGCCTGTATATAGCTTTTCATTCACAAAGAGATTAGAAATGAAGGCACAGTCACAAAAATTCAACTTCCTTCACGCCTAAAAACTCACATTAGTTACAAAATGAAAAAATGCCATCACAATTACTTTAAACAGCAGCAGACAAAAATCTCAGCCTTTTAATTCTGCTATACTTATTACACACAGTTTCATGTTTTAGGATTATAAAAAACATTACCTATTTGCAAATTAAATGACGTATGCTTTGAACCATCACAACTTTAAAACACATCTATTTCTAGAGCTTGAACATGAAATGGACTACATAGCTGATGAGAGAAAGGATCATTGTATTTAATTTTCCTGTGAAAACTAAATGGACCTTAAACCACAGACTATAGGAATAAATGAGTGATGTCAACTGATGGGCAAGGGAAAAATTGATTCTGTCCCTCCTTAGTGTGCTGGACAAAAAAAAAAGTCATTTGGCAATATAATAAAGACACATCTCTGATGAAGTCATGAAGAATTAATTGCTCCTGATGTGGATCTTTTAGTAGCAAATTGAGAACTACAAGTTTTTTAGAGGCAGATCAGTAGTATCCAACAGTAGTGATTTTCAGTTTTTGTTCATCAAATACTGCTTGAATACTGCATCAGAAAATAAATTTCTCAAAATCAGAATAAAATTAAATCAAATAAAACTACCCATTTCTACTTTTCCCCTGCTGTGCTTAGAAAAAGAATGAAAAAACCAGCAAAAATCCACACAAGCTTTAGATCCAACAGCAGTAAGAAGTTATTCTTAAAGCAAAGTTGCACTCCATCTCACATGCACTCTCA